ACAGAGTAAACAAAGCCCTGCATCGATGTAACACGACTTAATCAAGAGCTGTGAATAATGTGCACCAACCTCCGCGCCGTCGCATTGCGAGATGGAGACATAACTACATGAATATTCACACGACATAGTGCATGATATAAGCTGATTTATAACATGTATTGTACGTAAGCTGCTTATTCTCTCGAAATTGAGATACTTTGGACAGTGATTCTCTGGTGTATGTAACTGACAAAGATACACCTGAGGGCCTAGAATTAATATTTGTGATAATCGCCTTCGTATCGTTATCATCAATTATGTCAAAATTAGTCTAACATTTTTGGTGTACTTTACGATCACTAGGGGCGCTGCACAAATGTTAATACACATTTTTTCGATGGCGATTGTCACAAAGTTCACCGTCAAATCGAAGTGATAAGTGGATTGTATGAAAGGGTATCGATTGATACACGCGTTTGAAATTAATTATTTGACTGCAAAATTAGTCTAAGCTTTCTGGACGACAATCCTTTACGTACCTTAATATCATGAATGTTAGAATTTGCAATATTTAACTGCGGCTAATGAGTTAGAAATGGTATAAATTTGACAGCGTAGCTTGCATTGTCCGCAGTTAAATAATTCGGTTCCACTTGCGGCGATGGTGGCTTGGCTCACACTGTTTCAGCTTGTTATGTAACAGGCACTGAATATTATGCGGTGACGCATTAAAAATATTTACTTTGAAACCTTTAATGAAGTAAAAAACCATAGTAGAATAGTAACCATAGTTAAAAATGTATGTTGCTATATGTATTAATTTTGGTATATGTGAATTCAAATATAACGACTGATTAAAATGTATGGAGGAGTACGTAATATGTCAATCCTCCGTAGGGATAAGTGCAGGTCTATGATGATGATGTAAATATTTGAATCGTTTAATTTTGTGTACATTTAAATTTCTAATCACTGGCTACTAATGAGCGTATTTATTTAACGTTAGTACTCACAAATTGTCATTTTAACCGCTCATGAGCCATCTGATATTTGCTTTATTCAAATATTCCAAACACAACATTGGTTAATCCTTTCGAAGCGATGTAAAGTAGACAGACATAATTTAATTGAAAAACACACATAAATACGCTTAAAATAACCCACCACAGAAGTTTTTCATATTTATTTTTTTAGTTTTTATTCAATTTAAAGATTAAGTAGTAAGTAGAGATACATATGAGCCTTACTAATAAATAAAATGTATTCATGTAAGTAAGTACTGTGTTTGCATCTGTAACAAAGAAATTAATCATTTAGTTATTAATCAAACAGAATTTGTTAATTTTCAAATATAAAAACATCACACATGTACATTGATTCAATCTAATTAACGCACTACTTAATTTAAATATATTTTCGAATCTTATACAATATGACACTACATTTTCGTTTTCTAAAATCTGTGATATTCACTGTCATTAATGTTTTTCACTGAGAAGAGACAAAATACTTTTGCCTTGCCTACCAATTCAGTGGATTCTAAGGAGTTATGAATTTGCAAGTCCTTGAATAGTATCTGCGAGTAGAAACAAGTAACGTTTATGAGGTATAAAGGTAGTAAATAAAGGTAGACGTCCATTGGCCCGCGCCGGACGCACCGCAAAAATAAATAAATATTTGTGTTTGAATATCATTCACCACCATACAGTAAAGTAAGTAATAAAATTAAAATTTTGCATATATAAGCAATCTCTGAAATGAAATAAAAAAATCACTCACCGCCAATGTTGATAACGGGTATAGTTCCTTTAGAAATTAAAAAAGTTACTGTTTAAATTAAAAATATTTTTTCTCATTTCTTATTTTCGAAGAATACATGCACGAATGTCTCGCACGCTCGAAGCAATAGTATGGGGAAATATCTCCTTTCTATATGATCTGTTCTCTGTCCAATAAAGGCAAGCGCATTTACAACCTTATAACGTCTGTCTGGCCAAATGCCCACACAACCTCAAGCTTAAAAAACACGATATTGTCTTGCGTAGAGGAAATCTTACTCTTACTAATATTATAAATGCGAATGTTAAAATGGATGGATGGATTGATGTTTGTTTAAAGGTATCTCCGGAACGGCTGATCGAATTATGACGAAATTAATAAATAAGAAGAATATAGAAAATAGAGTAGAAGAACATATAGGCTACACTCATTAAGTTTGTTTTTTAATTCGTCGCAAGCGAGAGTTAGTTTAATAATATAACAAATACCTGGCGGAACTATAGTGTTTACATTGTCTCCAGCACCTGTCAAATAACAACAATATAACTCTAAATAAAACAACAACATAAGTCACACCCATAACCCGGAGGGGTAGGCAGAGACTACGGACCTCCGTTTGCGGACTTGTCATACCTCTATCGCTACTTCTACATTCATACATCTACGCAAACATGCACCTCGGGTGCTTTTAATATCGCCCTACTTGAGTATTACATTGATCTGCACCATATATGTTCATCTGGGACGGCTCCGACCGACACTGCCGGTCATCGACATATGTATGTTTGTGTTAAATGTCTTTGTGGCTGGTATTATAATAAACTGCAATATTAAATGAGTAATGCTTACCTGTTACCGTGTCTTTAAGTAGGCCAAATACTACGAAAAGATTATATTAAAAAAAAACGATTGTTATCAATTTGATGTATATTATAAGACTAGTATAAATAAATATTACAACTATGTGCCTGCAGTAAACGGTTTGTTCTGTTAGGGTTCCGTAGCTCGAAAGGAAGAAACGAAAACCTTATAGGATCATTTTGTTTTGAAGCATTAGGATGTAATGTCAGATAAACATTACACTGACCGTCTTTAGACGACAGGTAGCGTTTAAACTGTCTGACATTTGTCAGAGAAATAATTTATAGATAATTATAGTCAAAAATGAATATCTGACCCGGTGAGAAAGACATTGCTATCGAGTTCTGTCAGCAAAAACATAAATCCAAATAAAATTATAAAAATATGTAATTAATGAAATGTTAAAGTAATTCGATTTACCTTTATTTAATGCCGATCTTCAATAGACTGGATTATTTTTTTTATTTTCACTTTTTATACTTTAAAAAACTTTATTATAATTTTTTTTAATTGTAATTAGTTATTAATGATTAAGAACTTTTAAGAATTTGATATTTTTACCCAAATTACAGGATGGTAAACCAAAGGAGGAATAAATATTACGAATAAACATTCGCACATTTATATTATTTTTATATAGCTAATACAGTTAGTCGAACTTTTTAAACAACAATACTTGTGACATTATGTAACTTAAATTGTTTAAGTAATACAAGAAGACAAATGTTTTTCTATGAGTAGTTAACAAAGTAATGTACTTGTGTAATTCATGAGTTCGATATCTCGACAGCTGAGGCCGGCAGCTCGGATCTCTATCTGACCTATGAATATTCATCGCACCTTCTGCTAACTGAATACTAATTCCCGACTTAATAAACAACTTAATACTAATTTATCTTGAAAACCACGAATACACCCCCTTTGATAAGTATTTATTCAAAAACTATTAAACAGAATTTTGCTATTCATTCATAAAATCCATTAATACTATTTTTTGTCTCCTTTCTTATAAGAAAAGAGTGGGAAGGGGATATGGATTTAACGGAGGAGGGCATACGTAGGTATATAGGACAGAAAATCCAGGGATATAGAGGACACTCCGCTACAGACCGCTGAGGTGAAAGGACGTGTCCGCTCGCCTCACTTCTGTCGCACCGCCCAACAATTCGTTGAGCAATCCGCACCTGCGCGCGCCGTAAAAGGTGCCGCCATCCTTTGTTCGCGAGCCGATTGTGTTGGTGTAATTTTTATTGCGCCCGCCATTTGACAAGCGATAATCCTAGTTTCGAGGTAGAACGTCGTCATTTCATTGTTCCTTAGGGAACTATTTATTGCACCGCCACCTGGCAAGCAATTATCTAGTTTCTTATTAATAACATAGCAACGTCTATTGTTTCCGACTTCGGGAACTGCGTGAAAGGAATTGTGAAGTGCAGTTTTCACTGCGCGGAGCAACTTCTTAACAACGCAATTTTAAAAGGCTAGCGGATACCTAACGGTGATAACGAAGCTAGTCAGGCAGCCCCGTTCGCCTGCGTTTCCCCTTCAGGGAACCGCGTAATTCGGAAGGGACCTCCACCACTGGCCTTGGGTAGTGCCCTAGTCAACGTTGGTCCACGTTTGGCCTTTTAG